ATTGCCGATTCAAGGCCGATGGGCCATAAAAGCATTGCGTTTATTGGGCCAGCACTTTGGTTTAGTTTTCGATGGTGAATGGGCGCAGAAACTAAGTTTGATCTCCACTCGCTGCTGTTTGCAGTTGGAAGCCTCAAAGAGCGGAAACGTTTTCAGTGCCAAATATTTTTTGCTCTTGCTTCCAGCATTTTGCGGTGTACCTTTTGTGACACTCCCCCTTCCGGCGACCACTCTCAAATGAGCGCACAAAAAGGATTCTTTTTGGGCCTGCCTCCGGACGACAGGATACCCCTTATTCTGGCACTGGAATCTTAGTTAAATTAGTACTAAGCAGAACAAGAAACTAGTTGAAACCCCATTGCAAATTTATTTATTATCGGACATCACATAATCAAGCCATATTAGTGACACCCTTTTACTTAAATATTATATATACCACTAGCGAACATCCCACGGCTGCTCAGCCATATACCCTTTCACAAGTACAGGGTATTCCCGAATGCAGCCCAGCAGCACACAATGTTGACCAGCGGGAATGGCGCGAAATTCGTGCATTAAATGGAGTGGACTTCCGGTTGGTGAAAGCTGCGGCATCGAGTGCCGGGATCCTCCGGCGAGGGTATTTTGGCAGGACGAGCCGGCGGGGGATAGATGGAATCAACTGCCGAATTTATGCCCACTGGCCAATAATCCATTTTTAGGGCCATCAACCGAACCGAAATATTGGCTCATCCATTGTTTCCGTGCTAATTGTTTGGGACTACTTTTGCCAGCAATTTGCCAGTGAAAATGCCCGCTTTTCCACTCTCAGTGCCGCCCAATTTTCTTTCATTTTTTTTTTTTTTGGTTCGGCTTCAGGGGGACGGAAGGTGGATGGATTTGCGGGCACAGCTGCTGCGATGGCTTGCAATTATTTTGCAAACAATGAAATTGTTGCTGCGTGTGCAAACATAAAATCAAATTGTGTGTAGGTGTAGGTGTGTGCAGCTGTTGCGGCACAGATACAAAGATACGTATACAAAGATACGAGGACCGAATACAGACGCAGCTTGGGATACAAAGATACTCGTGAGGTGTCGCATCTGCCGGCAAACATTTGCCTTGATTTGATTTTACCTATTTGGGGGAATCCGCAGTCCATAGATATGCAAATTGCTTGTCGGCGGCCTGGCAGGTGATGGCTCCATAAAAACCGTAATCAATATGCAGCCGGAACAGAAGGAAAGAGGGAAACTGTGCCATTACTGCGAAGTGGCGCAGCACTGCAAATGAATTTAAATAAGCCCGGGCAGGCTGCGATTCGCTAACAAAGTGCAAATCGAGCGAAATAAATCACGGCCCGTGCGACACGGAGCCACAAAACTCGCGATCTGGCTAAATTAATCACTTGGCCATACATCAAAACAAACAGATCATGACAAATGCAGGGCGCAAATCGAGCAGGAACACCTACTTTCCCGCCACCCGATCACAACTCCTTTTCTTCTTCGCCGAAGACACCTCGTTCATCGTCCGCCAGCAAAAAAAAAAACTCTTCATTTGGATACTCTATTGAATTTGGATACTCTTCCGCATACTGTGCTTACTGAAAATGTTAGCACAGAAGATACAGGTTCTGAAGCTACATATGCGTACTGGAGAGAAGCACCAGTTGTTTATTCCATTAGGAGAGCATTCATCATTCGATTTTCTTGGGATACTTTCCCTGCCATGCTGCTGCTTTAATTAAAATAATTTTTACGTTTGCTGGCTGCGCTTTTTCCACGTGAAATTCCACCGCAGAACAAAGAGGAGACCCAGACGACTTAGCCGCCGTCATGTTCGCGTGTCTAGAAATGTGTCCGCTGGCCAGGTTTGCGTCCAACACCAACTCCATTAGCCTCCCGCCATCCCGATCCCCGATCCATGTCCATGCCCATTCCCTTTCCCATTATACTCCCTGTAAAGTCAGCGAGTCTCCGGCCAATGCCAACGCATAAATTATGCTTCGTTGTCGTTTGGGGCAAAAGTAGCAGTCGGATCGTCTGAGGTGACAAAAGGTACCGAGCCCTGAGTACTGAGTACTGAAGAAGTGGAAGACTTGCTGCGGGAAATTTCTTGGCAGGCAGAAAATAGATTTCGCCGACTAACTGACTGACTGGCTGGCTGGTTGGCTGGTTGGCTGGTTGGCTTCATTGTCCGAGGCGCAATGGAGTTTTAATTGTCCAACGGGGCCACATAAATTTAAGCTGCGCGATTTAAGATTTTCTAAAACATTTGAAGTCAATCTATCGCAGCCTCTTAATGGTCAGCCAGGTGCCAAGGGAAGGGCCAATCCCCCCCAGACAAGACCGCAAAACACAGAAGGCACAGAAAATACAGAAAACACAGAAAACACAAATTGTCTGTGCAAAAACAGAAACAGAACTTTTGGCCAGCAGCCAGCAGCCAGCAGACAGGAGAACTCTTAAAGTGTAACCAAACCGCTGGGGAGAGGGAAATGTTTTGCATTTCAAATTGCATTTTAATCGCATTTCAACCTGAAATGCCATTAGACATAATTCGTTTAGCTGCATTTGTCATTGGCCCAGCTCAGTGAGCCCTCTGCCATTTTGCCTGTGTGCCCTGGCCAAATCATTTCGATATGGCCATGTTTGGGCGGTTCACTACGGCGGAGGACAATTGACGAACGTCCGCACACGTAAATCAACTTTGGCATTGATTTCCACTGGCTGGCTGGCTGGCTGGCTGGATGGACTGGATGGACTGGATGTGCCCGGCTGATTGCGATTTGTATGCAACTGCCCGGCAGATTATGCAATCAGTCCACTCCCCATGTCAAATTCAAATTCGTCCTGCCGTAATTGATTGTGAGCCGTCGCCCGTCCACTGGCATTTAATCAATTTATGCCCGGTGCCCGAACTGCCATTCGCCAATTGGTAGTCGAGAGCGCTGAGTGAGTCCGTCGAGTATCGAGTACTTGTCGATCGATGCCTTGGCACCTGTCGCAACCTCCCATCGAATGATCAATCTGTCCACCTCGAAAAATGCCAGATAAATGAAGAACAAATACAATGTTAGAAGCCACAATGGCTCCTCCTTTTATAGAGCTGTTTAAAAGTATGCAACAACATATTTTAAGCACCGCAGGGAGAATTCTTTTCATTACACCCTTTTCAGGCACTTGTAGTCATGTGTATATTAATATTTCAAGACAAGATACCCTATTGGAGACCATTTCGCCTTTACCCACTGTGAATGCCTCTTTCTTTCGCTTCTGTAATGGCTCAGCTATAAATAGACAACTCACCTTGCGGATGAAGGTGTTGAAAGGCAGGTCCATCGATTGATCGGCCGATCGCTGGCACTTCTACTATAGATTGCGATTTAAATTAGCCCGACGCAGCCCATCGATTTTCCCGAGCTGACCTGAGTGCGGCAGAGACATGAATTCCTTTCTTCTCTCACGATTTACGAGTATTACGGTATGTATTTTCGGCCGGCCAGCTGCTCGAAAAACTCAATTTCCTGCGCGAGGACTGGGGAACCCATCAAATGCTTTACGACGGCAGACCGCAACTTGAAATTTAACACACGTTGTACACACAGTCGCCTTTAACCCTTTTGGTCTGTCTGGCCTGGTCTGGGTTGCGCTGCGCTGCGCTGCTACTTTTTCATTTTTCACATGTAATGTGTGTAATCAAAGTAGCAAAATCCAAATCATATTTCCTTCATTGACCACAAAATGTGGGCGGCCAACCCTTTGCCTTCGTGCAACCCACACACATTCATCTTCGGGGCGCATATAAAACATTTTACTAGATTTATACAATCAATGCTCTCCGCCTCGGAACATTTCTTAACCTTGTTAGATACGTTTTCCTCGTTTTTCCCGTTTTTCTCGTTTTTCTGTGGGCAAAATTATTGGTCTGCGCATATGTAATCATCTCTGTGGAAAAGTAGAGGTTTGTTGGGCCGAGGACACGCCGTAAAGTGCACACAATCAGATCGAAATTCGTTTTAGGTACAACTCCTTTGAGGCTGTATGTGCGAGGGTGTATGCGACTGTCTTGGATTCGCTTCATGGTTCAGGGTTCAGTTCAAGCCCTCATCATCCTGGATTTCCTGTGCAGGACACTGGCAGTTCCAGCAGGCTGGATGGGTCTGCATTTGGCCACTTGATAGTCAGCAGGACTTTATCGCATATGTTGGCAATTTTTTATTTATCGACTTTGCGTTTTATTAAAAGGTGTTGGACGCGTAGAACGGGCAACTTCAACTGATTTCCTCAAGGTTTTGCTTAAAGATGTTTTCCAGTATATTGGATATGAGTTTTCCCCCGGCGAAAATCCTATGTTAATAGAGACTATATGTCTTACATGAAAACAACTCAAACAAAAGGTAATTTTGAAGTGGGTTCTAACTAGCAAAACTGCCGAGTCAGATGGTTCAGGGTTCAGGGGTCAGGGGTCGGGGCCAAAGGTCTGACACCAACACGTCGCTTGGCGGTGGGCGAGAGTTCATTATTAAAAGTTTTTAAAAGCAGATAAGTGCACAGACTGATAGAGATACGAATATCCCAGCTTGGCAAACACAGCCACATCCACACGCAAAGCAGCAGTAGCACTGAGCGAAAAAATTCCCTTTGTTAAAACTCATTTCAGACTATCCGCGCCGGGTACTCCCTAGCTGCGATTCTGTTCACTACCGAAAATGCATTGTTATCATGAATTTATTGTTATTCAAGGACATCATTCTAATTTGTATTTTCTTGCAGTGCAGTGAAACGATAACGATAGCCCCTGCTCGGGCGCCACTTCACCTCTAATTGAAACATTAAGTTGCACATCACGTACGCGGTGTCAGACACTAGACGCCACCAACAGCCGGGAATCAGGATGGGATGGGATCGCGGGATGGGGGTCACCTAGGAGTATGCTAAAATGCGGCTGCGGTGGCCTTTGGTTTTACCTTGGTGCTGGAGCAGATGCCCTTCCTTACCCCCTCGACTTTCAGGGACTATCAACCACTCAGCACTTTATTTTTCCGTGTTGGCATTTTAAAAAGGCATTCAGGCTGAGCGCCGTGGGTTTTTGTTAAGTGTGCAGAGTGATTATGCCGGAAATTTGTTTGTCTATGATTTCGTAGAGGTTCCCTTCGCTGGGGGCAGGCAGGGTCTGATGAAGATCTGCCGGGCTTCGTGTATCCACTCGGTCATCACTGTCGTGGGAGTTGGAGTTAGAGGGTTTTGAATTCGGGTTAACGACTAACACCATCAGCTCACCCCATTTGGAACCCACAACCACTGGACAGGATGCGTGTCTTGTGAGGGGATCTCCATTTCCATCCGTATCCAAATTGTACCAGAAGATGGCGGTTCCAGCCTGGGGATACACGGAATATCCCACATTTCCAAAGACGGTGGCTCCTCCTTGTTCGACATCAGTCAGCTGGAAAGTGGAGCGCACTCTTATTAATCAGGTCATTCATCAATCCTTGTAAGTACTCACATAAAACAGCACAGTAGCAATACGATCGCCCAAGACGATGGAGTGGTGACTTCTTTCACCAGTGTAATTACTAGACGCAAAACCAAAGTAATCAAAGTGCAAAGAGTAGTGTCCACCTATGCCGTAATTAATCACCTGCAACATGAACAAGTCTTAATGATAAAATGTCTTGTTCCCTAGGCATATACCTGAAAATCTTCAGAGTCAGCCAAGTCAAAACCGGTCATGTCCACAATACGCCTAGTAATTCTCCTGGTCATCTCGTTACTCTCCTTTTTGAGCCAATAGCCCTTGGCAGTTCTTTCCCTGTTCGTGTTGACTGCTTTTTCACTTTGGACTCTGGTGTTTTTCATATTTTGAGCAGCCTTGCCCATCAACATTGATATTTCTCGAGCAGAGAGCACTTCGTGGTATAGAACCACATATGGTTTCAATCCGATTTGCTCAGTTTTAAGTGGAGCTAAGCGAAGGAATGGAGTCGTGGTAAAGTTATAGAAACAGTGCAGTCTTGTGGGCTTCTCAAGAAGTCCGTTGCAGCTTGTTTTGAATGTATTTACGATTGGAACTTTCTGCTCCTTATTTTCCTGAGGGGTTGGGTTTGGTTCATTCTCAATGAGGTCCTTTGTACTTTTCCACAGTCGAAGAACACGCGCATCGTGGGGCTGCAGCTTCAAGCAATTGTGCAGCAGAGGCAAGGCTTTTGAATAGTTTTCTAAACAACTACGGTTAGGTTTGGTATAACTAAAACTGCGACAACTAACTTTCTTTGAAGTGAGCCTCGGCAAGTAATCTTAGAACATCCACTTCTGCGATTAGCAGGTGCCGCGGGATACTTGGAAGTTCCTTTTGCAGGCGCTGAGGCACTTCCTGCAGCCATTGAACAGCTCCTGATGATACATTTTTCATGGCAAGGTGATGACCTACTGAAAACATGTCTGCAGCGCTCATGCTGACACTTGAGAGGGAGCCAAGCTATTTGAAAACATGTATTAATAAGCGTTTTGAATGGTACCCACTTGTACTGCTTTCCATGAATACAGCCATCAATAAAATCAGCAATTTTCAGGTTGTAGAGACTCTGAATTCGTACTATGCCGGCACATGCATCCCATAAGTCAAGTTGAGTGGGCAGCTCATTCTTCCAGCTGCCAAATGCTTTTATTTGGGAGATTCCCACTGGCTGCTCCATGTACTTTCCCCACTTGATCCAATCCACGTGCAATCGTCTGATGAGTGAAAAGCCATTCAGAGGATTGGACAGATAGGGTATAGCATTCCGCCCTCCTTTCTCGTTTTCTGCACGCATCACTGTGATTTGACTTGGGATATGTGTTAGCCAAAACGTTTGGATTGGTGACTTGCCAGATCTACCTGCGAATTATCTCCAGCTTCTGCTCCAGGGCCTTTGTATAGTTCTCGAGGTTATCAATCAGCTTCCTTTCCAGTTCCAGAAGTGGCACCATTGTCACCACTGACAAGGAGTGACTCCTTTCAAGCGGACGGTGCCCGAGCACCAAGGTGCTGAGCAACAGCATCACCAGGAGACATCCTGGTATCAAATCCATTGTTTGTTCTTTGATGCCATGTATTGCCGTAACTGTGAGTTTTAGTTTGACGTTTATCCAAGCCTACTAAATAAATCTTTTTTAAAAAGCTTGTAATCTTTTTTACTGCGCCTTTATTATACGGGCAAACTGTGCTATTTCTTGTATAAATTGTAGTTATCGTTGATGCATTATTATTATGTTCCAAATATGCGCTAAAAATATAGACCTATACAGTCCTATATAGAGTATAGCATCTTCCCGTTCCTTCTCCTTCTCTGCCTGAGAACTGGAATGTAACTAGAGAAGAAAAGTTAAATGATTTACAATTTTTTACTTCATGAACTCATCACCTTCGCAGGACCTGCAGCTTTTGCTCCAGAACATGGGCATAGTCTTCAAGGTTGTCGATCAGCTTTTCCCCAGTTCAAGAAATGGTGGCATTGAAGCTATTGCCCCAAATGGAAGCGAGTATTTGCAGCAGGATCAGGATACATCCGTGAAATTGCCTCCACTTTGAGGTCATTGAAGCCATAATCCTTTCTTGAATATAAAGTTCCAGAATATATGAAATTTTATTGTCACGAATGTTGTTGCTAGATCTACTCAGATGCCGAGAACATCTGCGAATGCGTATTTATTTTCATGAATATAGAAATAGAAAAGCCGTTTTCTTATCTTGAGCTTATAATGCAAGCTGTCAAATAATGGCTGGTTCACCACTATCAAACGATATTTCCAATTCTCGATTTTGATGAACGACTTTGGGTGTAAACACCACTAATTATAGCACTTTGAAATGTTGAGACATGATGTACAATTCTTCTTATCGCTGGGAAAGTGAGTTAATTGACAGCATTATCGATATTAAGTTGACTTTATTGAGTTTCATAGGGGTCGTATAGTATCACTGTCTGCAAATAGTTTCGCTGAGAATCATATTGGTTTTTTGAGGCAAGGTCTGCTGAATATCTGCTCGCGCTCCCGAATCCACTTGTTGCACACTACAAAGGATGGAGTAAGAAATACAGATCAGAGGGGAAAGTTGGTAACGCGTTGAGCATACCCCATTTGGAGCCCACTATAACGGGGCAAGCGGCATGAAGAGTTTTGTTGTCGGTTTGACCGTTGTCCTGGAGATTGTACCACATTATGACGGATCCGCGTTGGGGAAAGACGGCCTTTCGAATGTTGGGAAATACGGTGGCTCCGCCTTGCTCTACATCCGTCAGCTGGAGATAATCAAAAGCAGTAATAAATGCCACTTAATATGCTTTACATTTCAGTTACTTACGTAGAAGAGCACTGTCGCAATGCGATCGCCACTCATGGCAGTCAGGTTGGAGTTCTTGAAGCAGAATTAAAACCGATGATGGTAAAGCGTCTTGTTGAGCCCAGTTACTTACGATCGTGTTGAAGAAGTCGTAGTGCTGGTCGTAGTGGCCTCCCAACCCGTAGTTCATCAGCTGCAGCATCTCGGAGCCATAGAGATTAAACCCGGTCATATCGGCGATGCGGGCGTTGAGACGAACAGTGAGGGGGTTATAGCTGTCGGGGAACCAGGCCACTTTGGAGGTCCTGGTCTTCACCACCTCGTTGCGACCGGACGAGGCCTGGAAGACAGTGGCTCTTGTCAGACCCGGAGTGGCCATACCTTGGAGTTCCTTGATTTCCTTGGCGGAGAGCACGTCGTGGTAGAGCACCATGTAGGGGTCCAGGCCCACCAGTTCCATCTTGAGCGGAGCGAGCATCAGGAAGGCCGAGGTGGTCCTGTTGTACAGACAGTAAAGCTTGCCATCCGCGGACGGCGGGAACTGACCTCGGCAGCCCATCTGGTAGGCAGTCGTCCCTCCTTTGGCCTGGCCCTATATTGTTTTCATTTCGAGTAAGGTTTATTTTAGCCCTATCTCATTGACCTTATCAACCTGCCAACACCTGTACGTACCTTTGCCGCAGCCGCATTGTTGGTGCCCGTCCTTATCATCGTTTCGATTTCCGACTTCTTCAGCAGCAGTTTAATATCTTGCGGGTTATCAGCCAGCGCAATGTTGACTACTTTCAGGGCATCGGCGTTCTGGTCTGTTTGAGTTTTATATGGTAAGGCGCCTGCTCTCGAAGTCCAGAACTACTTACTCAGTTTTAACAGGGTTTCAGTGTAGACCATTCGCACTTCATTTTTGGAAATCTGAAGGGGAGCAGCCAGGGTATAAACCTCCATCAGAACAGCGGACTGATAGATCCAGCTAGCAGCTGCCAAATAGTTTTTCTGGTCGAATAGGATTTGGGCCATGGCATAGGTATCCAAGACGGTGAGACTCACACTGTAAACATTATGGGTTATTCACTAACCGACTGAATGTTCAATTAGCTCCAGCTTACTTGTACTGTTTGCCATTGAGGAGTCCCTGGGCAATATCCGACACATTTAGGCCATAGGTGCTTTGAATGCGATCCAAGGCGGTCACAGCCTCCTCCACATCCGTGTGGGTGGGCATGTGCTCCCTTAACTCCTGGATCCTCTCCACCTGGGCAATACCCACGGGATCGTCCATGTAGAGTTGCCAAATAATCCAGTCGCGATTCATGCGCCGAATGAGGGAGAAGGCGTTCAGGGGATTGGATAGGTACTCCTCCGTGGAGCCGCGGGCTCTGTCATTCTCCAAACGCAGGCTATTTATGCTCCTAGAAAGAAATTAGTTAGAAAATTAGAAAAATTGGTTTGTGCCTCGTCATAGCAACATTTCTGTCAAGTCAGTAGTTATCTTAAATCTGAAAATATCCGAGACAAGCTTGTACCTTCTTACGGTCTCCAGTTTCTTCTCCAGCTCGGCTGCGTAATCCTCCAGGTTGTCGATCAGCCGCGCCTCCAAGTCGAGCAGCTTCACCATTCCTGCCACCGAGGTGCAGTGGCTCTCCTCGCCTTCCACCCGGCGGAGCAGAAGGAGCAGCACCTGGTAGGCGAGCAGCGCCCTTACCGGAAGCAGCCACTTGGAAGAGCGCATCGTGGGCTACCTTTCTGGTCGCAGTTCTAAGTGGGTCTACGTGCCGGAGCCAACTGCCAGAGCCAAAATAGTCGGAGCTGGCAAGTTAACATCGGGCCGAGATAAATGCTCACCATATTCCGTTAATAGCGATTCTTTCGACTGCTGATAAGCGGCGCATTGATAGCGGCACGCAGCGATTTAATTAACCCGAGAGCACCGGAACAAAAACATTGAGTTGGCACTACGTGCTCGCCACTTAAAAAGAGCCGCGTCATCAAAGAACGTGCTCGCCCAGATCACTGACCACCGGCACTACCATGTGGGCAGTGGGTGAGTAACTGGGGTAAGACAGTAAGATGGTTGCAAAAGCATGCCAGAGCTCAAAGCTACCTCTTTGGCAGATATATAATTATCTACATCGATTAAAAATAACATTCATGCACATATGTTGTATGTTGTTCGCACGCTGGTACGATAAGATATGACATAGGAACGACACTTTTCTAAAACCGTTCTTTAAAGTCATTAAGCGCCGTACCTACGTAAACATGATTTATATTTTCCCAAAGACCCTTGTGCCACATACTTCAAGGTCTTCAATTTCACATTTGCCATAAAATACTTCCTTTCGAAAGTAGTTCACACAAAATTCAGGTACCCAATCGACATGAATAAACTATATGTACATTCCACCACCGATTTTCTGTTCATCAAGCCTGTAGCAATACGCCCGATGCTCTTCCTGTTCTACACCTTGGAAACGATCTTAAACATTATCTGCATTGGATACCACATCACTGGGTTCCAGCCCCTCGAGTGGAGAGGGCATGAGATCCACCACCTGTGCCTGATCGTCTTCCACGTGTTCATGGTGATGAATTTCTTCCAGAGCATCGCCATTTGCACGGGACGCGTGCCCAATGTCCTGGTGGAGATCTGCAAGGCCTCGGTGGCAGCGTGCGCCTTCATCCTGATATCCTTGCTCACCATGTGGGACGTGGAGCGGCAGTTCTCTGTGTTCTTCGTGAGACCCAGCGAGCTGGCCCAGGGTGAGCACAAAGAACTGCCGCCCGTTCACCCGACCTTCCGGTACAAGAAGGGTCAGTCCATTTCCTCGTTGTCCTGTGGACTGATCTACATGCTCCACGCAGTAATATTGTTTGACGTCAGGTTGACCTCCAGGCTGGTTGTCAATGGACCACAACACCTGCCCATTCCCCTCTTTGTCCTGGGTCGCGCTTTCCACAGAAAGATGTATAAGTACGAGTGGTTCAAGGAGTTTTGTGGCAACAATACCATTGAAATCTAGTGGGGATTCCCAAATTTGCTGCTACTAGTCAACTAGCTATATATGAACCCTTTTTTCGTCTAGAGACACTGTTCAAATTATAAAGATTCAAAATATGTAGAGGTACATATTTCCGTGCAAATACTGTCGGCTTTGTAAATTATTTGGTTTAGTTTTATAATGTCTGGAGCGGAGTCGCTTTTTACTTGGGTGTATGGACCGGGTGTCACAACGCAAGGGAGCACCGTGATAGTGCATCACCAGCCCGAAGCCCTGCGACCCGTGCTCTTTGTGTTCTATACACTGGAAACCATCTTCAACATGTTCTGCATGGGATATCACATATCTGGCTTTCAGGTCATCGAAGTGCATATGTTCGAATGGGATGAGGTGGCCATCCACTACTTCTACCTCACGACCTTCTACTTCTTTATGGTGGTGACACTCTTGCAGAGCGTCAGTATATGCACCGGCAACAAGTCCACCGTCATCACGGAGATCTGGAAGTCCTCGTTGGCCGCCATCGCCTTCATCCTCATATCCTTGACCACAATGTATGACGCGGAGCGGCAGTTCTACGTGTTCTTCATGGAGAGGGAAGTGGATGAAAAGCATGTCCACCAACTTTTGGAGGAGCGACCGATGCACCCGTTCTTCTTCTACCTGCGTGGACAGTCCATCTCCTCGCTCGCCTGCGGAATACTCTACCTGCTCCACGCCACCATCATGATCGACGTCAAGCTGACCCACGACCTGAACCAAGGTGCTAACAAGGGCACCTACATGCCCATACCTCTCTTTGTCCTGGGCAGATTCATCCACGGGAAGCTAAGCCGCTACAGTTGGTTTCGGGAGTTCTGCGAGAACGAGACCATTTACTTGTAGACGGACTCTGGAAACTTTTCTATAATGAGCCCGTGATTTCTGTTTCATATTTTGTAATACCGCCCTTTCCAAATTTTATAAGTACCTATGTCTGCTGCGTGCATATGTATCCATAAACTATATTTTTTTGTATAAAATGGGATCAGCAGAGCTTTTCGATGAAGAATACGGTGGGGCATATTCGAACATTCAAATTAATTTGCTTGTTCCGGAACAGGCTAATTAATTTGTATCTTTAAGGGCGCAACAATGTAAATCAAAATCGGATATCTCGCAGTCGGGGCACTCGACCGTGCAATTCTTACTGGTTAATGCTCGCATTACTGAACAATTGCTATCTGCTTCCGCCATGAGTGAATCCATTGAAAGGGTTTTTGTGGAAACCTAAATGCCGCCCACTTGTTGTGTGTGTGTGAGCCAAGGTATGGCAAAAAAGGCTTTAAATTTTACACTTTTATGGAGCGGCCAGCGGGTGATATGGCCGCCTGCGAATGGGGTCGGGTCATATGTCCTGCCGTTGATATCGGCTTAACTTTGCCATAAAACTGTCAGCGTCATGCCTTTTGCGGGGTCGGGTTGTTGGACAAATGAAATAAATTTTACAGCCAAATGGACAGGGCAGCCAAACAAAAAGACCAATGCACGGAGGCCCAGAGATTTGTGTGCGTGTAGTAGAACGGAAAGGCAAATCTAATGCGGACAACAAAAGCACCTGTGACCTGGAAAATGTCCTGGCGGCCACATCGAGTTTATGTCCGTGACCGTAGACTCCTGGATTCTGGACTCTGGATTCTGGATTCTGGACTCAGGACTCTGGATTCCGGCTGGCTGTACGGGTCCGCTGTCAACAGCTGGACGGGCCTTTAAGCTGCTTTTGGGCCACTTTAAGCCAGACATGGCAAATATTTGCCCAAAGCATTGCGCCCCCCGAAGGCAGGAGGGCAGGAGGATGTTCATCAATTAAGTGTCATCAATCATGGGCGCATGGATCAAAATCAGCGACTACGGCGACGGGCAAACATGTCACGGTACAAAATATCGTTTAACCTAGAATGCCAGCACCACAAAACCTATTTACTTCGGTAATGTGAAGTTGGCGTCTCGGAAAATCAGAGCCTCATCAGAACCCCCAGCCACCATCCACCATCCACCATCCCTGATTGTGCTTAACCATTTCGAACACCTAAACACACAAGTCTAATGCGTTTTCGGGGGCAGGTCAGCAGTGGCACCTTCGAAGCCATATCAATTTCCAGTGGTGACCCACTGAAATCCATCGCGGCTATAAAACTGTACGAGTATAAAGCAAAACTTTGGAAAGTTTTCGCCTTGCTTTATGGTAGCGGGCTCAAATCAAGCGGAAACTCAAACACTTGCTTCTCGAAACGACTTGTGAAACAATGCTCCATTAATGGCGCCCAATGGTCGAGGTTGCCGCCCGCCAATCTTCTTCTCCAATCTTTTCCAATTCGAAATCAATGCCCGGGCGGTTGCAGTTATGATTATTGCAGTTGTCAAAAGTTTTCAGAGGATTGATGCCGCTGGATGATAATGGGCTGGGCAAACAGAGAGGAAAGGTTTATGCAAATGCGGCCAGGGCTTTTATACACTGGCAAACAGACAGCGATGGCTCGCTAAAAAATGCTTATGACTTGTGTAAACAATTTGGCCACACAGTCCTTGGTCCTCAGATATCCTTTTACGTGTAGGTATGCCCGACCCCGTTCCTGCTCCAGTTCCAGTTTCAGTTTCAGTTCCAGTTAGGAAAGACCGAAGGAGTATCTGCAGATCCAAATCTGGTGTGTAAAAATATTTTATGGACTTTGGCATTCTGCTGGGGAAAAGTTACTTTGGCCGATAAGCGAGCATGTGTGTGACTTCCGTTTGTCCTTGCATGTCCTTCCTTGGCGAGGAGCACACACATTTTTATGCATTTTCTTAGCGGCCATTTTTATGCCCGCACACGTTTTCCATTAGACATCAACAGGACTGTCATTTCCCTATTTTCCTCCACGTTTTCCACGTCTGAGCCCCCAGTCTCAGCATGGGTGAAAGTGCCAGGGAATCGCAGAGAATCGCAGGGAGTGCGACTGGATTTTGGACAAGCTAACTTGAGACCTGTCACTCCCGCTCCTAATTGAAAACTGGGTCAATTGCCGGGTAGCACATTAATCAAATTCAGAAGCCCGCTTCGTTTTGCATTCGTCATTAAAGCAATTATCATGTTGGGACAATTACTCTTTGTTAGAATGGAACTGAAACTTCAAGCTGCGAAACTTCAAACTGCGAGTCGCCTGACTGAAAACTGCGCCAAGGTGGCATTAATCTTCATAAGCCTGACAAGTTCATTAGAATAGCAAACACGGCATTCATTTCCTATTACTGCGAAGCCCCAACTCCGCAAAATGTTACCCCTTGATGGGCTGCTAATTGGGAATATAAGTTAAGCTCATGCTGGGCCTCAAATTCAATGGGTAAATGGATGACTCTATTTAGGGAATCAGTTACTATCTTTAGGTAGCCCTTGCCATTTTGTGGCAGGAGAGCATAACGATTTAATTGCAAGCGTACAAAGTGTTACCTTATGCCTTATGGTCACGACTTTTATTTATGTTGTTAAGCATAAAAAGAGTGTGTAAAAATAATCCCGTATCCCTTTGTAGCTCCCACTAAAACCCGCCTCATTTTCCACCGCGGCTTGCATAATTCCGCGGATATCATTTTTTAGCGAGGCGCTGGAGCGCGACGCGTATAATGCGCATAATTTCTATGCCACGTTGGTCACCCGAAAAGTAAATGTAGACACAGCCACGTCCTTCGGAGATGGGCAGCCACCGAGGTCGACCTTTGTGCCAGCACCACCCCACCACCCAACCACTGCCAGCAACAACAACAGCGAAGGCTTTTGGCACTGGTTTTCCCGAAAGGGGGGAGCTGGGCCCATGAACAAAAGAGGTACATGCGAAAAATAAAACCTATTACCGGAATCATAATTATCTTTTATGGCCGCGTCTGTCATGACGACATTACGGCGTGGTCTGCTCCTGGTCCCCATCCTTTAGTTTGTCCCATCGTCCTCTCTTTGCCAGTACAGTGAAAGAAATCATGTGAACGCCACGACTGAATGCGACATAGAACATGAACTATGTTTAAGAGTGTGCAGAGCAAGGGGAACGTAACGAAGCAAGCGACTTGTTGGCTTTAAATATAGTTATGATAGTGAATAGTGGGAATTTCCGCGCAGTGTCGGCTCTCCGCACGTAGCAATAAAAAACCGCGAAATGCGGCCAAGTAGCGGCAGAAAAAAGTAACATAAATTACTGGCAAACCCCAAAGCCCCATAGTGGGGTTAAGGCGCAGGGGGGTGGTGCGTGTTCGGGGGACCCACAAATTATGTAGTCGGAATAATATTTTCATTACGGCCAGGAAAACAGTTTCGATTCCCCCTCGCAGACATCTGTCGCCGCTGTTTGCCTTTGGCCGGCTAAAAACAGGTGTTTCCTAATTTATTGGCCCGCCCTGCAGACATTCATTTCCCAACCCACAGTACTTGTACCTACTGCGAAATTATTATTACAACTGGCATGGGCGGAAAACGCCGTCTGCGGCCGGCAGACAAATCAAAGTGCCAACATTGCCTGTCATGTGTTTTTTAATTTCTAATATTTCACGCGTCACACTCCCACAAACGCGCACTCCCTTGCCACCCCGAAGTAATGCTAATGCCTCTGACAGGGGGCCTGCCATTGTTGTGCACTTTGCTGCAAATTATGCGGGACACGTCGCCGCAGCCGCATTACTCGCAGCTGAACAGATCGAAAAAGGGCAGGACTCCGGAGGTCTGGAGGTGTGCCCGAGGTGCATTTATCCGTGGTGGAGTCGGAGGAGCTCCAGCGCTAAGGAAGGGGAGTCGGCCTTATCCCGCAGGCCAACTGGCATGGCCAGTCTACGTGTGATAGTCGCAGCAACTCAGGAAATCTGCTCTAAGGCACCAGGAATACCTCTTTCAAACACCTTCTCGAGTCACTGAAAAAATCATTAAAGTATGGTGTTGCACACTTTTAGGTAGTGCAAGCATAAACCCCCCGATTTCTGTTACCCTAGAATTTGTGAGTGTATGGCAATATATACTTCTGATACCCTGTACTTGAGGCACTGCGATTGGGGGTCTGCTGTGGCGGCTGCTCACTTCGCCCAAGGCCAAGTGTGTGGCATTCCCCTTGTTAAAAAGCGCAAAATGCACGTGCTGCCTTTGTGCGAATCCTGCTGCTGCTGCTGCTGTTGCTGTTGCTATTGCTGTTGTTGTAATTGCTAGCCGCCGTCTGTTGACAGGATACTTCAACTATTGTTCGCCAGGACCCCCGACTCCTGCTTAATTCAGCATGAAATTGGTTTGTATTATGATTTTGCAGTCGCTCTCGCCCCGGGCGCTTCTGCACAAACACCTCAGCAAGTGTTGGCGGCGGTCTTAAAGCTTTAACAACACTCGCAGATGCCGAAAGGAGCCATCGAGTGTTCTCCTATATGGGTATTTACTGCGGCAAAGTTCGCTTTGATGCTGCTTTAATTAAAAACTGCGCGCTTCGCGTAACTAGCACTTGATTAATTTTTGGTTGCACGCAAAAGTAAGGCGAAAAAATGCAAAGCAACGCAGAGGAGACGGAGAGGGAGACGGAGACAGAACCGCAAAAAGCAGCAGGAAAAAAGGATTCAAATTAATTATGTCCGTGCTGTGCTCCGGGGTTCCAATCCGGATTTTTGGCCCGAACCGCTTCCTCTTTACGTTATCAGCGCGTGCTCCGCATACGAGGTGGATATGGACAGAAAGGACCCAATTCAGGATGAGGACATTGCATGCTGTTCGCTGCCATTCATTTGGTTGAACTTTGCAGCTTAGTGGGCGGTTGGCTGGGATATTGAATTTCCGCGAAATGAAATACGGACACTGACCAGTACGGATGCTATAGTCCAGAAATGGGCGGGATCGCCGATTCAGTGTGATATAGCACACACCAGATGGGCGAAGGAGGAGGAACTCAGCTCTGATTGAAAGTTTGCATTCCAAATCGGTCCCTCGCAAGTTGTCTTAAAAAAACACTGATATTAAAACCCAAATTGAATATAAGC